GTACAGTCTCAGAGAGAGTGGGAAGGCTGTCATCCATAGGCTTGAGGAATTTTCCAAATTCAGATGTTACACCCCTGGTGATATCTTTCATTCCCTGTGCAAGGGATTTCAGGAAACCAGGGTGTTCAAACACAGTGGGTTGTTCTTCCTCAGGGCCATCCTCATCATCAGCATCAGTGCCAGCATTGAATTTAGTGTTGGCAGATACAAAAGGTTCAGAAGAATCTGAGAGGACAGAAAAGAATGGAATCTTCTTATCATATAGCAGCAGGCATTTGTTACTATAATCAACAATGGCTTGGGTCCTATGGAACAAATCACTACCAATTATTCCTTCAAAATCACCATTATTTACAGGTGAAACTAAAAAGGAAATTTGAAAATTTTCATCAGGCATGCATAGGAATGCATCCACCTGACCATCTACAGAAACAGATTGTCCTTCTAATGTGGAAATTGAAACACAAGTGGGATTCAAAAGAATTTTGGGCTTCAGAACAAAAGATGAAATCAGAGAAACCTCTGAACCTGTATCAATTAAAAACTTAACAGGGAAATCAGAAATGGAAGTGGTGATGAGAATGACCGGTAGTTTCTTGAGGGAAGTGGGGCTGGAAACTCCGGTCTTTCCTAGTTTTCCAAGTCCCAATTTTCCTCCTCTTCCATGGCAGCTGCTGCTTCCTTCCCTTCTTGCCTCAAATGCTGCCTTTCCTTGTCTTGGTTATTTTTAACATAGTTCAGGAAACACAGGGAGCAATTCTTTAACCTTTAAGATTACTTTAGTCAACACTGCTCAAGAGTCTCAAGGAGAATTCCCAGATTCTGGGAGAGGATCCTCTTTATATAGCTCAGGTGCATATATGCAGAGAGAGCAGGGGAAATGCCTTTCCAGCCAGTTTGAACTTGCAGGGCAAGAGGATCATTAGAACTGGGTCAGGTCACCAATATCAGGGGATACATTCCAAACNGATCCTCTTTATATAGCTCAGGTGCATATATGCAGAGAGAGCAGGGGAAATGCCTTTCCAGCCAGTTTGAACTTGCAGGGCAAGAGGATCATTAGAACTGGGTCAGGTCACCAATATCAGGGGATACATTCCAAACGGGAAAAGTGGAAGACTTTCCATTACCTTTTGTTTGGACAGGAAGAGAACCAGAACCACATGGTAATTTAGGACTCTTGTGAAACAACCTGACATTCTCTCGACAAGGGAGGAAATGGGCAACCTCATTAAATGCAACTGACACTTGTTCCTGAGTTGACACATTCTTCAAAGACAAATGATCTTCACAGGGTTTTCACTCTTTTGGGACTTCCTGGTTATTCTACAGAAAAGGGGAAATGAGTGGACCCTGGTTTGCTAATGGAAGACGGTTGATCTTTCCATTGACTTGAGAGAGTTCACAGAGTGTGATCTCAATGAGTGAGGCTAAACAGGGGTTTACCCTTTATAGGATAACAATAGCGATTACCTTTTGAGCTGCTCGAGACCGGTCCGACTACGTCCATGCTTACCTCTTCAAAACATTGTTTCGGCACACCTGTGGTCATATATGGCGTTTGATGGGCATAGTGCTTATTAGCTTGACATACTTTGCAGGATCTGATGTAATTGCCTACATTCTTTTCTAAATTGGTCCAGGCAAATTCCTGTCGAAGTGCGTATGTAGTTCTGTCCACTCCGCTGTGTCCCATCGCCAGGGGATTGTGAAATAGAGCGATGATTCGCAGGCGCAGAGAGGGCGGGACCCAGATACGCAAGTCCTCTTTCTCTTTCTTGATGATCAGTCCCTCCTGCTTACTGTATTGTTCACCTGCGGGGGCGTTGCCCACTTTCTCTGTCTCTCTTGCAATGAGATCCCTTGAAATATACAGCAACAAGTCTGTTCTCTTAAATGCAGGTGACAGATATGCGCATAGTTTTTTGGTTTTCTCTGGTGGGAACCTACTTAAAGCATCAGCGTGTGATATGCTTAACCCTCTTTTATACTCAACTGTGTATTCATATTTGTTGAGGGCCATGAACCATCCGATGGCTCTCCTGCTGTAGCTGTTCTTTTGTCGGGCCAAATTTGGGATCGTGATGTGGTCCGTTTGGATTTTAAATTTATGTCCCCACAGGTATGACCTGAAATGGGATACTCCATAATAAACAGCTAGGAGTTCTCTATCGGTGTTCAAATATCTAGATTCGGCTCCATTCAGAGTTCTAGATGCGCATCCTATAAGGACTTCCTTTTTGTCCTTTTTCTGAGTCAGGATTGCACTGATTGCGTGTCCTGACTCATCTGTTGTTAATATAAACTCTTTGTCAAAATCAGGGAAGGACAGGATTGGGGCGTCTAGTAGACATTGCATCAGGCATTTCTTTGCCTCTTCTTGCTCTTTTCCCCAACTGAACTCCCTGTCCTTTTTTAGCAGGCTATATAAGGGTCTCGCTTTTGTTGCAAAGTCCTTAATATATGATCTAAAATAACCCACTAAGCCAAGAAAAGCTTGTACGCCTTTGATATTCTTCGGCGTAGGGAAGTTTTGGATGGCATCCATTTCAACGGGATTTACTTTAATACCCTCGTTACTAATCAAAAATCCAAGATACTCAATCTGTGTCTTAAACAGTTGAGACTTTGAAAACTTTATCTTTAAACTGGATTTGTTCAACCTACAAAGGATATCTTCCAAATGCGCCACGTGTTGTTTGGCTGTTTTGGAGTAGATCAATATGTCGTCCACGTAAATGTATGCATATGATCCTAAACATCCATCCAACACTAGATGCATTAATTGCTGAAATATACTCGGGCTATTTTTCAAACCCATGGGCAATCTAACAAACTTGTAATGGCCCATGGGGGTGGAAAAGGCAGTTTTCCACCTTTCGTCTTCTCTAATTTTAATATTGTAAAATCCGTGCAACAGATTGAGGGCAGAGAAAAACTTTGCCAATTCTAATTCTTTGAAGATTTGACTAATTCGCGGTAATGACATTTATTGGACCACAAATCTCCCCTGATAAACAAGAAAAAGCTCCTGCGTACTCCCACCAAGTCAATCCTCTTTCCTGAAAAGGAGAGAAACAAATCTTGACAATTTACATCTTTTCATTGTTGGAAAAATCACTGTTCTTTTCAGAACAGCTCCAAAAATTGGGTATTTTCTCTATAAATGGGCTTCTCCACAGAAATCCCCTCTATAGTAAGAGGCAAATCTGGGGCCGATTCCTTAGTGAAGCCTCATAGACATAATGTTGAAGGTTGATGATCCTCTGATACAGAAACAAAGTGGGTACCATGATATCCACACAGCAGCGCTCTGTGTCATGGCGCAGTTTGTAGGAAGCTGGGTGTCAAATGTGGGAGGCCCTGGTTCACTTCCCATTGTGCGCAATTCTTTTTTCTTGCGTGTTAATGCAGGAGGCCTCAATTTGCAACTGAGCAAAGCTCTTTGACAGATCAACAGTGGTCTGGCTGTGAATAATTTGGAGTCTGATATAAAAAAAATGGATGCCCCCATACTCTCAATGCGGTTAGGATGCGTAAAAACTCTAAAGATAGGTAGAATTTGAAACAGGCATGAAATGTAGATAACAGAAGAAATTGCGAATGGAAGGAAGTAAGGTGCAAGAGCAGTGTTCAAGAGAAAAGATGCACCAAAGGAAGAAGATATTCAGTGTCCATTTGGATAAATTCAATAAATATGAGACGGACAATGACAATAAATAAGAACGTTATTAAAAAAAATGAAAATCAGAATGAGTTGAGAATGAAAATGACGAGAGAATGTGAATGTGATTGAATTCGTTGTTTTCCAAACAGGCAAGTTGAGTGATTCAGTGGAAATACAATGGTATTGTCCGTGGAACAACCAGAGAAGCAAAACGCAGATGCGGATACATAACATGGTTCAACAAAGACAACGAAAAATATAGCAGGAGCATCAAACACAGGTACAATAAACACAAAGATCCAAAGACTGGTGTTTTCATATGATTAATAATACACAGATATGGAAGAAATGAGGGAAATGTTGATGAATTTGGAGAAGAGCATTGAACGACGGTAGAAGGAGATAGCAGATGCCATGGTGAAGAATTGTTATTCAAAAGAAAATGAAAATCAGAATGAGTTGAGAATGAAAATGACGAGAGAATGTGAAAGTGATTGAATTTGTTGTTTTCTGAACAGGCAAGTTGAGTGCTTCAGTGGAAGTAGAGAGGTATTGTCCATGGAACAACAAGAGAAGCAAAACGCGGATGAGGATGCATCACATGGTTCAACGAAGATTATGTTTCTTCACCGCGGAATCTGGTATCTCCTTCTACCGTTGTTCAATGCTCTTCTTCAACTTCATCAACATTTCTGTCATTTCTTCCATATCTGTGTATTATTAATCATATGAAAACACCAGTCTTTGCATCTTTGTGTTTATTGTACCTGTGTTTGATGCTCCTGCTGCATTTTTTGTCATCTTTGTTGAACCATGTTACATATTTGAATCTGTGTTTTGCTTCTCTTGTTGTTCCATGGACAACACCTTTCTATTTCCACTCAAGCACTCAACTTGCCTGTTAGGAAAACAACAAATTCAATCACTTTCACGTTTTACCGTCATTTTCATTCTCAACTCATTCCAAATTACATTTTCTTCTGAATAACGTTCTTTCACCGCGGCATCTGCTAAATCAGAAAAAATGCTAAAGATTGGTAGAATTTGAAACAGCCATGAAATGTAGATAACGGATGAAAGTGAGGTGCAAGTGCCTGGTTCACTGAAGACGACAAGAAAACGGAATGAGGAGAAATTTCACTACTGAAATATGGTCAGAGTTTACACATGAACACGCGGTACACTGCACTCATACAATATTGTATACTGTGTATAGCTTCTGGGTCCTGGCTTCGTGAACAAGCTTCCGAGAAAAAAATGCAGACCTATATACAGTACCTCGGATTTCAACCTGGTCAAAAACGAAAGCGAAATAATTAGTAGACAACCAGAATCATTACACAAATTTTTCACGTTCCATTTGCTCTTTTTCTTTCAGAATTCGCTCGCAGATAAACTTGATATGATTATCAAACGAAAAAGCTAACGTAACATCCCGACAAACGGGTAAAAGACACGCTCCAAAAACAAACGTCGCTCCCAATAATTTCGTCTCTCCCGGAATACGAAAATTTTCCATACTTGATCGCGACCAACAAGAACCGTAGGGATTTCGTAACTTTTTTCTTTTCCGAGATCATGAATCACTTGATGACCTTTGAGTAAAAGTGATGTGGTTCGTTTGGAAATGTTGGGAATAATTATTTCCACTTTTCCCAGCCCCGCTTGAATCGTTCTCTTCGAAGTGTAATCAATGAATGAATCCATCAGGTAGTCCCTGCCGCTCAAAAATTCACCAGCGCACTTTGGTGGCCATCGTTTCCGTCTCTCGCTTTAGAGCGGAACTGGATTGAAAGTTGATCCGTATCGAACGCACTTGCACAGGTACACACACACACACACACACTTCGTGAAGAGAGGAACGAAATACAGTATATTTTGGTGGTAATGACACGAAATGCTTCCATCAATCGGCGGCTACCAAAAAATGCAACTCAGCACTGGACACGCAAATCGTGCATCTCTTTCGCCTCTTGCTGCATTTGCCAGAGGAGCGAGGTGACCCTGAGTTTCGCGAAAGATTAACAACAATGTAGAGACACATTACTTAAACACACACACACTCTTTCAAACGAGACATGTCGTGGAAAGAGACAGAGAGAGAGAGAGACAGAGACAAGAGTCGTTCTTTGCCGCCGCCGATTACAAAAGCGTTTCTCATATGACCGACGACGGGACCTTCTCGAACGGGTCGAGTCCGTTCGGGCCCTTGCTGCCTTCTTGGCATCGCATGACCGAGGACCGGCCGGAAAAGAGGCTCCTCGCCTGTGCCCCGCCAGCAGGCGAATGCATTTGATGTTGCTGCTGCTGGTGCTGCTGAGGCGTCGACGGTGAACATGTAAGGGCGGTGCTTGGTCCTGCTCCACCTGATGACGACAAGGAGAAAGAGGAGTTGCCACCTGGCCCAGGTGCCGAAGACGGGGAGTGCTGGAGCAAGTGGGTCCCTGCTCCGTTAGCTTGTGACTGCAGCATGGACCCAGACCCGCTTGCAGCACAGTACTGCGCCACCAGCTCCTCAACGTTGGCATTGCCCGAGCAGTGGGCGTGTTCCAGGCACGTGAGGCCGTCGTGGTCTCGCGGAACCACCTGCGCCTGGTTCTGTCCAAATAAAAAATAAATAAAAAACCTTATATCAAGTCTTTTCCGATATTGTAATCTTCTTTTCGTATATTAATCTTTCACTCTACATCCAGCTCTCTCCACCTCTATCTTTTTTTCTGTGTTTTTTTTTTTTTTTTCAATGCCTCTTTAAAAAAAAAAAAAACAATGCTCCGCAATGATTNCTATCTTTTTTTCTGTGTTTTTTTTTTTTTTTTCAATGCCTCTTTAAAAAAAAAAAAAACAATGCTCCGCAATGATTATGCACGCACCCAAAGCAGGAGCTGAACAATCGGCAAGTTGCCCATGGAACACGCAATGTGGAGCGGAGTCCTCAGGTCCCTGGAACTGACGGTCACGCTCACGTGCTCGGGTTTCGAGTGTGCCAACAACAGCGATACGTGTTTCACGTCTCCTCTGCAAACATGATACATACAACACGAGATTGACGACATTCCCTTCCCGGTCATGAGTCATGACACAGCATACATCAGATGTAAAAGAATAGAAAGAAGCAAGGAAGGAAAGAAAAGAGACCTGCAGACAGCATCGATGAGCTGCTGGCCAATGCCGGCAGGGTTCGACAATGGGGCGAGGAACCGCTTCTCTTCGTACTTCCATCTTATCCAACGCTCCTTCTCCTCCCGGGGCGTCGTCGGCGTCGGTCTCGCTGGCCCGGGCCTCTGCAGCTGCCTCATGGCGCCTTCCCACACGCTGTTGGCCACGCGGTTCCCGAGTGCCATCATGACGGCCAATGGTCCCGGCCTGGGACACGAGGGGGAAAAAAAAAAAAGCGAGACTCAGCGTGAGACGCTCAATTTTCGAGACACAATCGAAGAAAAAAAAAAAAAAAAAGAACCACGCGCTTATATTGATCAACGCGGGCTGCTGCTGTCCACGGCACACACTACGCTTCACCAACTACAGTACAGTATACTACACTACACAACCATTTACAACATGTATACTCACGGCCACTCATCCAAGCCCAGGCTGCGAACTCGCGATATGTGAGAGCCGAGATTCCGATGGATTCCAGAGCACTCGATGCAGATAAGTGTACCCAGGTTCAGACTGGCCCAATCCGGGTCTGGAATGATCAACAGTTGAGTCAGTCACAACAAGACGTTGAGTTGACCGCTATGCATGCATACAGCAGAGACAGCGCGCGACAGGTTTCAATTGCGACTCTGGCGAAAGTACTCAGCAAACCAGTATACTATACTATACTGTACTGTACTACGTTCGATCCTCATGAATTTTCAAAGGCGGAAAGTACATTTCAAGTACTGTACAATAGGAACATCAGCAGGGTGTTGACAGTGGGAAACGGCACTTTAAACAAACATCCGCTCGCGTTATTCCTCCCAATCAGCCATCCACCTATATAGTTCTACACGTCGAGGACAGTACTGCATTTTCTGCGTTTATAGCGGGAGACCGACAACCACTCCTGAGAGAATTACAGAATCAGTCTTACTAAACAAGAGTACACCTTGGACCAGGCAAGCAGGACAGCTGGTTGAATTCAGGAGATCAATCAATCAATCACGAACGGATGAACAAACGATGAGCGCGATCAACACAACTGCGCATGCAGGGGGAGGAGGGGATAATCATTGCGATATCCTGCATACGATTCTGCTGTAAACTCAGGCAAGGGTCCTCGATCGATCGTGGCAAACAATACTGCGCTAAAACTCCACGCATATCAATTACCTCAGAAATCGAGAACGATTTCTGTACAGGATTGTCAAGTTATTACTGCATATACATATAGAAGTAGGCAGGAATGTACAGTACGCTGTACTGCACTGTTGTACTATATAGCAGCATCACAACAAGGATGCTGGCAGACTCGAAAAACTCGTCTCCAAGACAAGACTCACTCGGAGCGTCGCAGTCGCAGCAATTGAGATTCCCATCCACCGCCTTCCGGAGCGAAACGATGGCACTCGGGTCCATATTGACTTTCGCCGCTCCCGAATTCTTCCCCTTGAAGCTTTCGTTGCCCTGCGAAAAAATATAAAAAAATAAAATAAAACCGGTTGAATGAAAGAGGACACGCTTTTCATATTCAGTCAGTCATGCACTTGTCGCTCGATCGGTGCTCTCCAGCCAACAAGAAACGACGGGCAGGTTATCAAAGAAACAATGAGCAAATCCAATCAACTGCACATTGCCCATCAGTTACACACAAGTGACTCCACCCTTCCCGACCCAACAAAATTTCAAAAAATGGGCATCCACGCATGCATGCACGTACGCAGCACGCACAGACATACACAAAAACAACACAGTACAAACAATGGACCATCATTTAACAAAACAAAAATCTGTTTCACAAACTTGTTCTGGGGAAAATCCCAAATTTGAAAATTAAAAAAAGTGATTTTATGGCTGAAATTTAATGGTATAATCCAAGATCAAATAATTTACATATGCACTGATGTGAAAATTCTTCCTACACTTTCTGATTACCCACCTTCTGATTTGCATGTGGGCAATCTTGTGTTTTAAAATACACTATATGTTTCAGATACATTATTCATAAGATTTTTTGTTACAGAATTACTTCCCTTTCTGTCTGTGCTTGGTCTTTCTACTTTTTTGATTGTTAGAAAGGTCTATCTGATCTTTACTTGGTGCATTAGCCAAAAAAAAAAAAAATTTCATTTTCACTTGACGTGTATCTTACAGCGTGTGTTTCCCTGGATGTGAAGCTTCTTATCTTTGCTTTCATCAGTGCTACTTCCATACTGTATTACACACAACTGTGGAAACATTCTGGGAACATGTATAAGATGCAGCAACAACTTATATTCTTATCACACTTGATGGTCTTGAATTCTTCACACTCAATGTTCAATTGCCTTTTGGGTTCATATATGGAACCAATTACTGTAAATTCTTTCCCATCCAAGTCTGTGGGAAAATCAAATTTGGCCCACTGTACAAAGTTCACACCTCTCATCCGCCTGGAATGGGGTACTTGACCAAATGGAAGACACCCTCGTTCCCCCCCCCCCTTTTTTTTTGCCTTGTTCTTCGTCATACCTGGAGGCTAGTGAGGATGCACTGCTCGATGGCCTGTACCCACTCGTCTCGCTCTTCCGCGTTCGCAGCTTCAAAGTGCCACGTCTTGCTATCCTTGCTCACGATGAAGAACTCATACCCGTCTGAATCTGAGGACGAACAAACAAACGACTCAATCCAATTGACAAGTTCAATTACGCATCATTCACGCAACAGGAATGCAACTGGTGCACTGCAACTGCACCGCATTAGAGGAACAATAGCAAGGTGTACAAAAGTTCTTGCCGCCGTCTTGACTAAATCACGCGCAACAAAACATGTGTACCTACATTATATCATTCGAGAGCAAAAGGCAATGTTATGTACTCTACAGTATACAGAAGCGCAATAATACTGTACTGCCATACCGTCAATTGTGATATTATTATTTAGAAAAATGAATGAAAAAAAAAAAACAACGTAGCACCAGAGCAGCACCTCCCTCATCAATCATTGTGACGCATATACAGTACCGCACTCGCTGTTCCCTGTCCTCTCCACCGACAATCCCAATTTAATCTCTCTCGAATCGTGAATCCTTCCTTCACTTATTAAAAAAAAAAAAAAAAAAAAAAACGGGGGCCAAACCTTCAACCCTTTCAACTCGAATCGGGAACCCTTCCTTCACTTAAAAAAAAAAAAAAAAAAAAAAACGGGGGCTGAAACTTGAACTCTTTCAGCACTGGCACAGGCTCCTCAATGAATCAGAATCCCATGCATGCCTACATCTCCCTGGGGGAATCGCTGCAAAAGCATGAAAATCGTCAGCTCTCTTCTGTAAGTACAGTACCGGCCGGTACATGACTTGAATTCGGCTGGGCTCTCATCGCTCATGAAGAAACCCCAACGTGAAAACTTGAGAATGCGTTGACAATTAATTAAGCTAGCTCACTATATTGTACAGCACCATCTTCCACGTACACGTGCTTTTGTTTTCGGATTCGGGGCATTGTACAGTACTTTACTGTACTTGCTCCGGAGAAAGAAAGAAAGAAAGAAAAGAAAAACAAAACAAGGCACGGCCAGACACAGACACACACACACACACACGCAGAATCAACGTACCATCACCGTCGTCGTGGTGATGGCTGTGCTTGGAGCGAGAGATGGACGTCTTGAGGCGACGGTGGCGCTTCTTGCTGCTGCTGCTCGACGGCGTGCACATGGCACTCGCACTCGCAGTCGCCACCGGCATCGCGCTCGTCGAGCCCAGCGAGTCCATCCCGCTCACCGTCAGACTGCTGATCACAATCGAGTTCTCCGTATCACAGTTCCGATCTGAGAATGAGACACAAGCGTGCAAACAAACAAACAAACAGTCAATGAATGAATGAATGAATGAATGAGGGGTGGTCCCTCATCTGGGCAACCGTCGTGAGCAGCTAGAGGCCCCCTTCTTCTCACCGGAAATGGACAAGTGCGACATGTCCAACACACCGTTGGTCGCAGGCACGCGGGGTCGGTGTTGTCCTGCGTACTTGACCGTCGTGCATTGCAGATCGATTTCCTTCCCGTGAACGTCGTCCATGTAATCCTATGAAAACGAGTGCCAAAAAAAAAAAAGAAGAAAAAATTTAATTACTCTACCGTTCCCTTCAATACTGTACACACACTCTACTGCATCGTGAACGGTACTTTGTACTCGGTCGATAGTCTTTATACAGAGCAGCTAGGACTGCATAGACAACCAATTTTCTAATGTCCGCGGACAGACAAATCTTGGATGAATTTTCCAGGCAAGATCTGCAGACATTTTCTAGTGTTGTACCTGCTGCGGTCCTTCAACCACAACCTCGTGATACAAACCTATCTGAATTAACCACACACACACACACACACACACGAGTCGTCTTGGAATCATTATAAATTTCGAGTAGTTCTTATTGCAAGTGTCTGTAAAATCAAACTATCAAGAGAAACTTCTGCGGGACACATACCCGCACATCTCAATACAGTACAGCTCCATGTCTTCAAAATTGTGCTATTTGTTCTCAGCATATGCGATGTTTCGAATAGAGGAATGTAAACGTTGAAAATGTAATATGAGAATCAATGATGAGTAGCCCTTTGTAAAAAAAAAAAAAAAAGAAAGAAAAAAAAGTTAAACAACCAATATCTATCCAAAGTTTGATATTTAAACAAGACTCGAGTTTCAATAACCCTTGATGAATTTCCTAGTTTGAAAACAATTCCGCCGGTCTGCGGACCATGGGCTGACGACCAGCATAGCATGGTGTCAACTGTAAATAGCATCACCAGGAGACATCCCTCACACGGGCACTGCAACTACAGTATAATTCAAACGTAAATAATACTTTTAAAACTTTTGTTTTTTCTTAACTTGCAATGAATTTCATACACTCACGACTTCCATTACAGCATTCGACCTTTGTTTACAATTTGAAATATTCAACACGCGTATTTAATAAAATACAATACAGGACAGGGCAGTACAGTCAGACACTGAGCCACAACAACTGAACCGAATTAACGGTCTTTAATAACCATCAGAGATCAATATTGCAACGGGCTCAAGCAACGATAATCATATACAAAACAATAACTTGGCCTCCTCAGCAGCTGTACCTTCAACACGCACATGCATTCAATACAGCTGGTAAGTACGGCTGGTACATCAGATCCGGAATAAGAGCGTTGAATGAAATTGAATGAAATAGCGTGTACAGTATGACACGTCAAAGAACCTCAAAAAATATATAAATAAATGAGAGGATATAAATTCTCTCAACGGTTGCGCTGCCCGAAAGAACTATACTGTACTCCACTTGACTTGCAAGAGTCTCTCTTATATTGTACTGTACTGTTGATACACAGGCATGAATACCCTGATTAATGGTAATGTACGAGTACTGTATACTGCTTCTTACACTCAAGAATAGCAGTGAATGAATGAATGAATGAATGAACCGTGCATATGAATAATCATCTCACTTGAAGACTCGGGTGGTACGTAAGCCTGCCGTCGTCGCACAACGTCACGTACTTCTTCTTCCACTCCTTGTTGAGCGTCTTGGAGCTGCGCTTGTAGAGGTGGCCCTGCTTGACCGGGATGGCCCGCCCCACGCCCAGCTCCCCGTTCTTGGCCTTCTTCTCGGCCTCCTCCTTCTTGGAGCTCGGCGTGAACAAGTTCGACCGCCGTCGGTTCTTCCTGCAACCGAAGAATCATGCCATCATCAACGAGAAAATCAAAACCAAAACAAGAACAAAAACCGTGGCGTATATTTGGGGTAAAAGCGTCCGTTACATTATTAATGTACCGTACAGTAATGCAAAGCATTTGCTCAACATTACTGATGTACAGTATACTGTACTGTGAATAAAATACCATAGAGAACAGTAATACGCCCCACAGTTACAGCACTGGACTCCGGCCTCATCCTCCCGGGCACATTTCCGCGCACATTACCAAGACGACGATTCAAACTAACAGCGTCCCAGATTCTCATGCTGCACGACCCTGTGAATACCAGCACAGTACAGTATATATGCCGGACCGGAACAACGGGAAAAAGAAGATCGAGAGGAAGGACATAGTGTACCATCAGCAGATGTTACACCATTTCCACGCAGGCATTTCTCGTTTTCCCAGTCCTTATTCCTTCATTTATTTTACCCTTTAATTTTCATCCTCATTCGAGGTTAGACGGTACTCAGGAAAGTCATTCAAATTAAATTTCTCTCGGAAGGAAGGAGATGGAATCGAGTCTCAAACTCGCTTGTTTTCATTGATATATACCATAACTGGAAAATTGCCGCGCATTTGGTTTCCTTCAATTTCAGACGGGAAATTAAATCTGTCATCACAGGATGAGTTCGGATCCTGGGAGTCTCGTCCTGCAGACCTGTACTGGTGACTTTCTCCTCCCCCCCCCCCCCTCTTCAACACTTTAAACACCCATGGATGAATGCAACCAAATAAATTTTTATTATTGAAGTTATTCCGCGTAATTTCTTGAAGAATGAAAAAAAAGAATACCACACGAACGAGTGGCTCCATAAACCGAGGAAATTTAGGGAAGAGGACGACCGAGCAAGAAACCCCCATCCGACAGCACCTTTGAATAGAATACAGTAGAATCGTTTTTGTTTTCACAACACGTTGGGTGGAAAACTTTAATAATTCGACTTTGAACCAATCAATCATTCTTTTCAAAGCCATCACAAAAAAAACTTGGTATCAATGCTGGGAATAAAACTCTTCCCATAGCTCTTAAAGGTTACACACGAGTAAAATGATACCCAATGCACATTCAATAGAATTTTAATTTCCAATACATTCCTTCATCATGGTTCTCTGTTCCAGCAACACTACACTTGCGAGAAGTAGTCGTCAGAACACGACTTTTTATTCATGCTTCGTAAAATGTTTCATGAATGCAGAAGAAATGCAAGTTTGGAGAGAGGTCATCTCAATCATTTCAGGAATGGATTGAACGTTTGACGCGCCCAGAAAGTTTCAGCCGACGCATCACAAAGTACAGTACTGTACAAATTTCGTCCATGTGATTCACCTGACACTGAAGACCCAACCTACAGTACATTTGCCTTGCAGCAAGTTACAACTTGTTCGAACAAGTTCAAATTTTCCAAGCACGTTACGGAAAAAGAGGGGGGGGGGGGGGGGAAAAAAAACACCCGANCACGTTACGGAAAAAGAGGGGGGGGGGGGGGATAAAACACTCGACAACAGCCCTAGAAAAATGTTTCTGCGTTCCTCCACATGACATTCTCAACCAAATCTGCATGCAGCAGTTCAAGGTACAACCACATTTCAACCAGGATTTCAGGCCGTATTCGACAACGGATGCATGAATCACAAATATATTTCGATTGGAAATACTGTACTTTTCCGGCCCTTAAATTCTTAAAAAAAAAAAATTAAAAAAAACATGACAGGGCTTTCACGGACGAAGCACAGGTGATTTCGGATGACTGTTCAATCGAGAGAAGACTCATTCGACTAAGAATAAAACGAGTATTGTAAAAACGAAATACATATATTAAATTAAGTACGCGGATTAAAAATTTTAGAGAGGGGGAAATTTTGGAATCCCGCAATTTCCATAAGGAAAAGATGAATTTTGAAGGCCTGTCGGAAGACGGAAAAAGCCAGAGCTGGACTGAACACGGAAATTTATTTCGTGACGAAAGTTGGATTCTTTGTCTCACCAACTCCGCTCATCTACTCACACATGCACCGAGCAACAAGAAATATTCATTTGCAAAGAATCGAGACCCCCACCCCCTCACCCGTACTTCCTTCAATTGATGCCGAGACAGTAGATGCAATAAGGGCAATGCTGGGTAGGTGCAAATAGATCTTTCGTTTTCTTCCTTTGCTTTCCACCTAGCTCTTCGTCCCCCCCCCCTAATCCTCCCTTCGTTCCCGCAATCAATCAATTGTAAAACACCGTCTACACGCGGTAAAGTCTGCGCTGCCAGAACCCTCTACAGTTCGTCGCGGTTGCTGCCCATGACAGAAGACGAGGAAGAAGAAGAAGAAGAAGGCACGGGAAGCAGGCCCCCGTCTTTGAAACGGACATTCGCCGATTCATCCGAGGTAAAGATGGACGACGAGTTCCTCTCGACAACCGACGCCCGTGGCTGCATGACTGTGCCAGCAGCAGCACCACCAACAACCACAAAATCCCGGGAAGATGCTTCCGTCGTCGTCGTCGACTGGCTGTACGATCCCCGCATGAGGTCGAACGTGAACGTGGTCGTGTTCCAGTCGTCCGACGTGCCGGCAATCCGCACCAAGCCACCGCCACTCATCGTCGACAACATCATCAGTGTCGAGTCTTCCGTGTCCGACACGTAGTCCGAGTCTCCCGGATAGAACACGGGCTCTGCCACACTCGGCTCCACGACGTACGCTTCCAAGTCCCGCTCGGGAAACTTGTCCTTCCACGCCTGTGGACGTGTTTCATTCATTCATTCATTCATTCATTCAATCCACCTTCATTCAAGTGTGAGTGGAGTACTGTATATGCAATCGAGAGTCTCGGAATGATCGGACTGGACGTCAAGAGAGGGACAATCTCTGCATTACTCGACTGTACTGTACTGTATTGTACTCGATCGTCGTCAACATCATCATCATCATCATCGTTACACAGACAGGTAAAACAATATTGTACAGTACTGTACTGTGTGTGCGACATGCGCAAAATTCGATGGATCGATCTATATCTGTATGCGGTTTTTTTTTTTTTTTTTTATTTTTTAATNTAGAAATCAGTCTTGTGGTTTTTTTTTTTTTTTTTTTTAATCAGTAATCTGGAGTGGATTAGTCTTTCTCCTCATCTCCACATGCGACCAGTATCAAGTGTGGTGATGGAGGTGGTGTCCTGCGCAAAATTCAAGGGGACAAGTACTAGACTGCAAAACATTAATACAGGTTAACTCTCTCTACAATGATTCTCTCTGTGCAACGCTTCTTTGTGTGTTTGTTTCGGGTCACTTGAATTCACTGCAGGGAGAGATGAGAGAGATAGTCCACCTGCCTCTTCGCCGTCGAGCGCTTCCACCCTTTTTGCTATCAAGATGAATAAACAAGAGCAGAAATTGAAATGATGTCTGCGTGCAAGTATGACTCTTTATTTTCTTACTTTCTTAACGTTATTCAATCGAATGTTACAAGTTTTTTTGTTCACCTTGCCTCTCATTGGCAGAGAAAGGGAAGAAAACACGATTGTTTTTTTTCTTTCTCCCCGGTTCCACGGGCAAACACTTGAATGCGCATTGTCATGGGTAAAAAACACGCTGTCTATTGTTGTTGCCCAACTCAACAGGATGTACGGTACAGTACTGTACTTACAGTAACTCGATGGGAAGATTGATTTGGCTCTGACAAAAGGAACATTCAAGTCTGCCCACGCGCACAAGAAACTTATTGTCACTCCAGAGGACTCCTACGTCCTACCGCACTACTACATTGTATAGTCCTACAATGGGACAGTACAGTCTTCTCCTTTTTTTGTTGTTGTAGTTTTCCTTCATCTTCATTATTTCGAATGAATGTTGTCTCGAGTACAGTACAGCACAGTAGTGCAGTATAGTGTACAGTAGTTTATTGTAGCATAATTGCACCCCAGACTGATGCTAATAAAATACAGTAATAGGGTAGTACTGTACTGTACAGCACAGCAAAGCACTGCACTGCACTGCACTGCACTGCACTGCACTCATTCATTGGGCCACAAACAACCTGCACGGGATGCTGGTCAAACATGAGCGGCAAGTACTCGTCCGTCGGCAGGAGGTTCTTCAACAGGCCCGGGCGCAGGAGCTTCTCCGCCCCGCGTGTCGACACGACGTAGGCCACGGCCCAGTAGGAATACGGCGCCGTGTGCAAGTAGCGGGCAGTCGGGAAAGCGGGCTCGGGGTCCCAAGTGCCAGGCAGGTGCTTGCGGGCCAGGTAGATGAGGTCCCAGTGCGGAGCCAGGGCCTCTGCCTCAGCCAGGATCTCGCGCAACTTGCGACTGAACCCGCGACGGAAACTCACGTCGTCTTCAAACACGACACCGACACCAGCACCAGCACCAACAAGAGGAGGAGGATAATCATCATCATCATTATTCGTATTGTTTTTGTTCTTGCTGCTGCTGCTGGCCATGGCAAGAATCTCTCGCCACGCACGGCGATGACTCAGCACACAGCCAATCTCCCCGCGCTTCATCCCTCGTCGGCCAGTGCCCGGGTCCTCGTAGTCCGTCATGACGGACATGCCCCGGTGCTGCAGCCAGTCGTCGGACACGAGTCTGCCGTCCACGGCCGGCACGAACGTCGTCCGCATGCCCAGCAGCTCCAGACTCTTTCCCACCCGCCTTCGTCGCTCCGGACGTCGCTCCAAGTTCACCACGTAAGCTGGGGGCAGAGGACGACGAAGACGATGCGCAAGAGCGGGACTGGACGGCATGAGGAGGACGGCGTCGTCCATTCGAGAAGCGAAGCCGTCCACGCAAGTCACCAAGTCCACGAGGTCGTAAACAAAGTCCTTGTCGTCTCCTCCTTCTTCTTTTCCGTCACCACCACCACCACCAGCAGCAGCAGCAGAAGCCAGGAATCCAAACTTGCCGCACTTGCCTCGGCCCACTTGCCAGTTGGCGCAGTTCCGCATGAGTCCCGACCCCGCCCTGACCAGCTGGACTCGACACCCGGACGACGTCGTCAACGTTGACGCCTCCTCATTCTCGCCGGCTTTGTTCTTGTCTACCTCGTCCCCTTCCGCCGCCGCCTCCAATTCCCGCTGCTCGTCCTCCGCCGTCATCGACGCGAGTCTCTCGAGTCCAGCCGTCGCGTTGAGGAGCAGAAAGTGGACGTCGAGCCACAAGCGAACGTCGCACCTTTGACTCTGGTCTTTGGAATCCTTCTCGTCGTCGACGACGACCGAGGCGTTGAACGTGGAGACCAGGTCGTCTCGCAGACTCGCGGGGAAGCCGAGAAAGGAGAATCGCAAGGACCCCACCACCGTATTGACCCCGTCGACACGACGATGACGATGATGATGGTGGTGGTGATGATCGTGTTGCAAGTCCCGCAACCGCAGCAGGAAATACGGCAGTACCTCCGAGACTCGCACATCCGGGTCCGAACGCACTTGCACGCAAACCGACCTCGGCAACACGTCGTCGTCGTCGACCACGTCACCCTTGCACTTGCACATCGGGCACAAGAAAGTCGTCATGGCCAGTAGGATGATGGCACACGTCCGAATCCAACCGAACATCATTATGCTCTAGCACTCCGTCTCGCACTGTCCAGCGAGAGTCGACAAAGAAGTTGAAACAAGCAAGAAAAGGCCAAGGCCAAGACCTATAGATCAAGCAGCAGCAGCAGCAGCAGCAGCACCACCACCACCACCAAAACAACAACACCACGGCTAATCGTACAGAGCGAGCTCCGAGCAAGGATAGTCCGTCGGAATCACGACTACTACTGTACTGCACGAGTTGGCAGGTGCGCAGGCCGACTTGGGCCAGGCAAGAAGAGGCCCGAGGAGTCACCTGCGAGACGGGACGAACATACGGCAATCGCAGCATGTTTCCAACGGGTCAACGGACCGACAAAAATTACCAAGACAACACAAAAGGAGTTTCGCAACAGACGGTGGACGCGACCCCACAAAAACATTGCAAGAAAAGAAAAAAAAACACGGAAATCCCTGGGAACCCTCTACGACGACTTGCATAAATTATGGAACCAGCGGGACCAACTCCATGTCCGTGTTTCTACGCACGAACACAACATGGCCTATATATGCTGGCCAACGCAGAAATCGTCCCGTACTTTATTGTACTCCCGTATTGTTGTGCATTGCACGGTGCCGCCGGACAAATACGCCGCGCCGGGAAAGCTGGGCATTATTATCCCAACTGACTCGACACACGTACCCAACGAGTCGAGAATTCACCTAAGAATAAAACACGCCGACTACGGGAATGATGGGTGACCTCCTCTTGGGTTAGTCCTACAGTACACTACAGTACTGTACTGTGCTACTGTTCTAACCAACTCGTCAACGCAGCAAAGAAGCCCAGCCTGAATATCGGGAAAAGCCAGCGAGGGGTCCAGCATGACAGTATAGCAGACAAAACCCGAATGATGGCCACCGAGCACGGCCGTCCGTCATCAAGGTTTTAATTCAAATACTGTACTCTACTGTACAGAACAGTACAGCACAGCACAGTGCACAAACTCGGCGAATGAGATCGGGGCTGAGGGGACCGGAAAATAAGTGAAGACGAAGCCGCATAAGTGAGAATGACCAGCAAACACAGCAAAAAATAAAATGAAATGAAAGAATGCGCATCCTGGTGCGAAAAATTGGGATTGGAAGGAGTCCAATCGTTTCTTTGTCGCATTCAATCGGCGACGACATTTTCAGGGGCTGTTGAAAAATTGACAGGACGAGCCCACGTGCTGCCATTTTACGTCAGAGTTGCAAACGAACTGATCTCCTTCGATTTACTCCCACTCAACAACCCATCTCGCTGAACCCGTGCCGCCCGGCTTTCGTTGTTTTGCCGCAACCGCCTGCTCCATTAGTGAACCCCCTCCATTAAGATTCTTCCATTTGCGTACAGGAGAGGGAATCGCTCACATGGAAGAACACAGTCTGTAGCAACCGAATTCCCACGCGACCCAGTTACAGTATTGTGAGTTGAAACGGACTTTTGAATGAGTTTCGGATGGTTGCGATTCCCCGAATGCTTCGAAAAGGTCATTTCATACGGAATTTGTACTCCAAGCTTATATTTGCCAAAAAAAATCGCAATCGGCGACAGCGTAAAAATACTGTGGATATAAAAAAAAAAGCACTGACAGAAACTGACCCATATTGACCCTGCATGGACAGTAATTAAAAAAAAAAAAAAAAAACGCAGAAAGAATAAATGATCTCGTCACTCACCTCGATGTGGTCGGTGTGGATGACGGGGTCGGGAACTGGTCGATGCACGACGAGGAAGTTGTCGTCGTCGTCGGCAGCGGAGGCGGCATCATCCTCCTGTCGTCCGAAAACGTCTTGCCGCTCTTTTCGCCTCCACTGCTGTTGTTCTCGCCGCCCGACACACAATGTTGTTGTTGTTGCTGTTGTACTTGTTGTTGTTGTTGTTGTTGGGTGCCCGATGAGTACCGCGTCGGGAACAGACACACCCCACCAACACTGCTCGTCGCTCGCTCCATCCCACCACCGCCGCCTGGCACCAACACCACCCCCTTATTCTTTTCCTGCGCAATAAAAAATAAATAAAAAGAAAAAAGAAAAAAAAAAAACAACCGAGGAATAAGAAGAAGAGATGGAGAGAGACAGAGAGAGAAAGACAAGATTTAGCGACCAGGACGACTGCAATACAATACAGTACAGTGAAATACACTCGCGGAGGTACAGTACAGTACAGTACAGTACAGTACAGGCATCATTCAATTCTACGCCCTCGAGAAAGGGTTGGACTCCGACGCTCGTTCGTGACGTGAGAGTGTGTGTGTGTGTGTGTCAAACCCGAAGACGACCTCATTCTGCCCCTAGTTGACCGTTACACGGATGACCGGTTAGTCAGTCTGTCAGTCAGTCAGTCAGTCAGTCAGTCAGTGGGGCCGGCCGGAAATACTAGCCACTGCTGCATGCCGATGCGCTGCTGGTCAGTCGTCAGCGGACAGCGCTGGCATCCGTCAAGAGGAGCAGGAAAAAGGAATCGGGAGCAGGACTCGTAAGTCGTAACACGCATCAATCAACCACTACTTCCCCTTCTCGATTCACAGTCCTCCTCCTCCAACAGATTCTTGGTCCTTTCCTTCACTGGCCTACGTCTACACGTATGTGCAGCACACTACGCGCGTCTCGTCTCACATGAATAGAAAAATAAATAAATGATAAATGCAGGAGGAAAGAATGGGAAACAAAGACTGCCCGCGAATCTATTCGACCCCTGTCCGGTCGACCGCCGGTCGGTCCAACAGCCAGCCAGGGTAGTCCTTGGCCTCGCCCAATCCCCAGCCCACCAAATTTGCGGTCCGGGTCACCCGAATTGTCGGGGAACCCAAACAATCGCGAGACTGAAATCCAAGAGCTTCTAAAATCCTGGCTGCAGTTTTTCTTTCCCCGGCTTTGGTGAGCAGAATGGTTTCTTGCCTCAGATTTCTTTTTCCACACAATTCATCAATGTTAGGTTAGGTCAGGTTAGCTGACATTAAGACCGTTTAGTTTAGGTTAGGTTAGGTTAGTTTAGGCTAGGATAGGTGAGTTTAGTTAGTTCAGATTTGGTTACGTTAGTTTAGGGTGGGTTTGATGAGTTTCTTTTTGTGAAAATTTTTATATGATTAAATTCTGTACAACAAATAATCTGTGCTACGATACCATTCTGCTCACCAAAGCCTGGAAAGTAACTGCAACCAGGATGTTAGAAGCAATGGATTCTAGTCACCCACTTGTTGGGGTGCCCCAAAAATTGGGTGACTGGACCTCGGTTTGGTGGGCTGGGGATTGGCGAGGCCAAGGATTGCCCTGGCTGGCTGTTGGACCAACCAGCAGTTGCCGGCTGGCAGGTGCGCAACCGTGGTTTGACTGACTAGTGTCTGACTGGGTACCCTATATTGGCCTATTCAACCAGCTCACAGTTTGGACAAGGACAACAACAACAACGCAACAAAAAATGAATAGAGAAAAGTATCATTACAATAAATACCATTACAACAATATGTTGAGCATTCAGTAACAGACTTCATCTCAATAAGTCCAGGCAGAAAGCTCATTGAGTACATGTTGAAAGTACAGTACAGTACTGCATTCCGTTAAACAAACTTTCAAATTCCAGTATTGTACTGTACAACACACTTTCTGAGGAATGCTGAATAGATTCTCAAGGTACAAGTTTCCCCATCACTCAAGGCAGGCTATCCCAAACATGACTGACTGGTTCTTATTGTACCATTGATGGATGCATGATTAAAATTAAAATTTAAATAAAACATGCTTTCAAATGGTTGCACATAACATTTCCCCGGAATGAGGATTTTCACAACATTCCCTCAGAATGAAGGAATGGGGACAACTAATGGAATGCATGATTGAAACTAATCCCCCTCAAAGTTTGAACTGTTTTTCAAACAGTAATGAAAAAACTTCGAAAATACCAGCAACAACATAAAACAAGACCTGTTCGAATGTACATTATAGACAGGTCTCATGTGAAAATATATTCCAGTCAATAATTTTGAAAATCCGATTACAACAATTTATTCAAAGTAACCAATTTATCTTGCAACAAGTCCCCAAAAGTTTGTTTGCAACCAGATTTTCCTGAACACAATGATGCCAGTTTCAGAAGCAGCACTTTGTGGCTCCAACCAACGAAAGACACGTGTCATTATTTACGCAGATACGTTTTCACAACTACTGTACTGTACAGCGTGTGACATGGTAGCCGGGAAGAGTATACAGCACAAGTACTGTCTACATTTGATGAAAATCCAAAATGCCACCAGCAATGAATAGCGCCTTTGAGCAAGAGAAGGACCGCTTTTCATTCAAGATCCTCTCTCAAGAGCGAAGACTACCTGATTGATCGATCGATTGACTGATAAATTTACTGCGAAAACTTGCCTCGACAGAGACACGAACGTCCGTCCCAATGTTTTTCAAGTGCTCCCCGACCGTGGATGGACGCCGTTTGAGATGGACAGAAAGAAGGGCGTGAATGACTCAAAAAAGAAAGGAATGCATTCCGAGTAAGTCAGTGTGAAATTCTTTTGAGAAATCTAACGGTTGTGGTCGTAATTGCTGTTGCTCCAACAAGTACTGTACTGTAGTGTAGTGTAGTGTAGTGTAGTGTAGTTCCTAGTCCCCCACCCCATATTAGGAAAAATGGCCTGTTCACGAGACTGATCCGTGTCAGTCGGACGCGGGGAAAGAATACAGTACTGCAAGCACGCGTTGCATCGGACAGGCCGTTCCATGTCCTTCGATCGGTACCGGGAAAACGAAAAGTTGCACGAAACCGGACTACTGTACTCTACAGGCAGTTGCTCATTCCATCTTTCATTTCCGCGAATAAGATGATAATGACGATGATGATGAATTTAAAAAAAAAAACAAAACAAAACAAACAAAAAACTGTCTACATTTCCGACTGCTGCACCAAGTCGGCGTGTGTGTCGACAGAATCTACTCTCTCTGAACAACCCCTCAACGACCCACATCACGAAACATGCATTAGTGATCGTTGATCGATCGCGAGGCGGCCAACCGGAAAATTGCGACTGTTGAAAATGCGTTCTGTCGATGACGGCGATTTTCTCCCGATGACCAACAACAACTGCGCCATTTCACAACAATTTTCATATTACGGAGAAGCAAAGAGCAGGGTGAGGAGGGGAGGGGGGGAGGGGGTTTCACACGCTGAACGCGGCAATTTTCTTCTTTTTCTTCTTCTCTCACTAATTACAGAATAATGTATATAGCATACTCATACTGTATCACCGTATAAAGACTGTGTACACGGGTAAATAGACTCGGTGGGGAATGGAGAAGAAGAAGAAGGAAAAAGAAAAGACAAGCAAAGGGGTTTGGTCATCTTGAACGCTTCCCTACCGCGCCGAACCTTTTCAACCCTTTCCGTCCAACACGTCCTCCACGTATATACGTACTACATCACTGTACTCCACTCAAATTTGTCCTCTCGTTTCGTTTCAAATGTCGGGGTCGAACTCTAGGGGCGTTTCGACATGAGCGCCTAAAAGAAAATCATCGGCCGCCGAACCAAACTCAGGAAAATTGCCTCGGAAATGCGAGTCGGTTCTCGAAACACAATCTGAACAGGCCGAAGACGGAAGGGGGTTCCGTGGTGCACAAATAAAACGCTGGTTTTTATTCAGCCTAGAATTCTACCAAGTTGACGTGCTTTTCCACGTCCACTGCTATTTCAAAAGGGAAGTACAATATATAAATAAAAAAAGGACGAACAACGTGACCGAAGAAACTTTACAAATTTAAATAAGTAACCGCGGTACGTTGAAATTGCAAGATATTCACAATAAAGGCTTCACAATAAACGAAAGATTCCGCCAATAGAATCCGGAAAGATTTCTTTGTTTCCCCAATCCTTCCACAATGAAAAAAAAGGGGGGGATGGCGGAGTAACGTCGAAATTCTGATACCGGAATAACGTCGTCAAGCCTCTCCTGCTGGAACGAACTTGTAAATAAATATTTCCGCACTTGATAACTGGAATTGTTTATGAAATAAATTGTTTAAGGTTAGGTTAGGTTATTTATAGAATACATTTCTTTTGTTCCGAAATCTGAAAACCTTCCGGGGTTTATTAAAGTTCATTTTTTATTTGGACAAGTGCTGCACACTTGTTCCACGGATAATTTCAGTTGTAAAGTGCGGAAATATTTTATTTTCACCACGCGCTTGTTCCAAAAAAGAGAGACTTGACGACGGTATCAGGTACTGTATCGGAATTGCGACCCTATTCCAAGAAATGAAGACGCACGTCGCTCGGGAATGAAATGCCCACGAATCAACGAGTTTGCCCTCTCCTCACTTTCGACATACTCCACAGTGCAGTGCAGTGCAGTGGGAATTGCAGCTCAGGGATAATGAATGAACATCATTGGCCCACCACCAAGTCCAAGCATCATTCGCCGTGCTTGGCTTGTTGATCCGCGCCTGGGGCCGAACTCCCGACGTTTTGCACTCGCACTTCACAGCCACACACAAAATGCAAACACACGAACAAACAAACAAATAAAAAAAAAAACGCTCAGTCGATAGACGGGAAACAACAGAACAATTGAGAGAAAAGGAATGAAGGCCAAGTACTGTATCCTCTCAAATGTACTCCATCTAGACTTTCTAGAGTGTGCAGTGCAGTGCAGTACAGTACAGTACTCGTCAATCGGGCGTCACACACACACGCGCGCGAATGACAATCACGCAAGCGCTTTTCACACGGGTATAAAAGTGCACTAGTGCCGTAGACTATAGTATAGTACAGTATAGTAGAGCAGAGCAGAGCAGAGCAGAGCAGAGTCAGTAACTGGCGGGGACTGACCTTGAGGAACTGCGGCAGGGGCCCAGCAGCGGGAGGCGGCATGGCGTGGTAGGTCTGTGGCGGTGGAGGACCGAACGCCGTCGCCGTCGACGCGTGCGGCGACATGATGAGCGCTGGCGGCCCTCCGTGCGTCGGCGACGGCAGGTACGGCGTCGGCGTTCCCGGACAGCCCCACACGGCAGATCGGGACGCCGTCGCAAAGTGGTTCGGCGTCGAGGACCGCGGGATGGAGCCCAGCATCATGCGGTGCTGCACGATCTTCTGGCACGCTGTGTACAGTGTACAGTGTAGAGGGGAGAAAGAAAGAAAGAAATCAAATCGAATCGAATCCAGATTGAAGCAACAACAACAACAACAAAAAAGGTGTAGAGTTCTCTGCTCTCAGGGTGATCCTTCCTTCCTTCCTTCCTTCCTTCCTTCCTTCCTACAAGACTACAAATTGATAGTAGTAGACTTGAAAAAAGTCGACCATTTCCCAAGTGAGAATACCTCCTATACAGTACAGCGAATACCTCTAGCTCTTTTGTCATTCGAACCAAAGTTTGATTAGAAATTGCAAGGGAAAACAAAGTTGAAGGATGTTGCATCTTAAATAATGTTACAGTACTTGACTTGTTGCATCACGTACTATGGTCGTGGGATTCCCAAACCCAGGGTATTCCCAGAAAAAGTCGGAGGAACATTTACGCCAAGTTCGAAATGCGGTTTTCTTCAGACGCTAAAAGGAGTTTAGTGATACAATGGATACATACATGTACGGGCCGACTTCACAGGCTTTAAAATCAGACATACTGTAATGCATTTTTGTTTGATTGCTTTCTTTCATGCCTCGGTTATGTTCAATCGAAAAGCCTGACATAATTTTTCCTCCGGATCATCTTTAAAAATGCACTCGACAAAAATATCAATTGCATTTCAAATTATTCCTTGTTGAGTTACACGAACGTGCACGGCCTTACGTACAGCAGTTATGTGACTACAGTACAGAGGTATTGCTTTCACACTTACCTTATGAGTCTGACTCGGAAAAATTGGCAAAATACTTCCGCAAATACAATACTGTACCGTCTACTGCAGCAGTGTATTGGTTCATTCTTTTCCCGGTACTTTTGTCAGGAGCCATGAGCAAAAAAAAAATATTTGAATTAAAAAAGAAAAAAAAACGGTCGGATTCTACTTTTTGTAAACATATCAAGGGGTTGTTCGAAGTCTATGTAGCGTCCAGCACTATCAAAGCTACACTCGGGAGTTGCAATTGTTTCCCGATCTCGAGCATTATTTTCATGGTGTTTCAGGCACTCGCAGATGTGAAATTGACATTTAAATCGAAGTGGATGATCAATTTGAGAGGACTCGACAGAAATTAATGCGTAAACAGAAATCCACGCTCGACGGAATTCCTTTCTGGCACAAAGGCATTTTGTTGTTCAAGCAATAGCGCGGAAGTACGATATTGACAAAAGTTGGCAGATGCGAGGAGAGTTCATCAATATGCTTTTCGGTAATGACAATAATAAAGCTGAGTTTAATGTCGTTGGAACTCTCTCAACTATGCAATGAAGAATGAAATTTGCATAGATTTAATCACGCAAGCGTTAGATACCGTACATCCAAAAGATAATGACATCCGTTAGATTAGAATGTCTCCTCGTTGTTTTTACTGCATGTCACCGGAACAAAGTTCTGAATGGTTAATCTTAATGATGCCATCGTGATCCAAGTACTGTGCAGGGTGACACACAGCACACATCGTTCCACCACTACTGTTCCGCTTCTTTTTTCTTCTCCTCTTCCTCGCTGCTGACCCATCTCCCTTCCCCGGGGGTGTGTGCGTGTGTATGTATGCATGTATGTACGTACAGTAATTTATGTATGAAACAGATGAGGAAAGAGAGAGAGATAGGGAACAAGAAAAACAACTCCTGGTTATAGAAAGTGAGTGAGTGGGTTAGTGTGTGTGTGTGTGTGTGTGTATGCGTCGAAAACGAGAGCAACCGACGACGACTCACCGTCTTGAAAGACCTTCTCGACATTCAGCCCGTACGTGGCACACGTCTCGTAGTAGGTGCACTTCTTCAGGTCGGCCGCCAGTTTCCTCGCCCTCGCATCGTCAATCACCCGTGGGTTCGTCTCACTGATGGCATCTGTGCAAACAAACAAAGAAACAAATGGAGAAACCAACAGTTTAGTACAGTACAGTACAGTACAGTACAGTAGTGCTGTCCGGTATTGTATGCAATGTACAGTATTGTTTCGTTTTCCCCACTACAAATGGACAGCGTTCTCTTCCTGTGACATACAGTACTGTACATGCAAGGTGTTCATGCTGACTCGGCCTGATGGCGGTAACAACAACAGTCAATTCGGAGTTTCAACTGCTCTTTTGTTTTTGTTTTTTTCGCACTTTCTTTGGCCTTAATATAGGTAGGTACTGTATACGGCATGTGCTTTTGCTGAATCGACTTGAGGGCCTCCAAACATTTCCTCCGGTATTCAACCATACGAGGAATCCATGCCTTTCTGCTGAATCAGCCATGGAGTAAACACAGGTGCAGATTTCAACCATCACAGTATATATACGGTACATTTATTCACTCCTGCACAACAGACCATCCTCATTTGTTCCCGCCCGTGTGCATTTCTCCAACGGTTGAGACGGTGTATGCCATGCCAACAGTCCCGCGAACTACTGTAGTTGGAAATCGAGTCGGCATACAGTACACCACAATAAATGCAGTACAGCATTGTGATTTGCAATGCGATGCCGCTGCTATTGCTTTCACGCGCTTTCCGTTTCCCGAACTCAAAGAGCGTTCTCTCATCCGGCAACAACTGCAATGGTCTTTTGCCAAAGCATGTTTCAGACAGGGTCGTTCGGAAGAAAGGAAAAAGAAAAAAAAAAAGAAAAGAAGAGGAAGAAGCAAACAGAGGAGGTCCTCGGGTCTTGTCGGCTAACTGATACATGCAACCAACAAGCTGTAAGGTGTTGAGGCTCGCACACAATGATGTCAGGATGACAATCTCAAAAAAACAGTGAAATTCAACATGGAATGAAAATGCATTGGGGAACAGAAAAGGACCAGGCCCTGAAACCCAGCACACTTGATGAACAGCTGAACTTTATTTTTATTTTTTTAATTTTTTATTTATTTATTTTTTCAATACCACACGGATACTGCAACTGCCCCCCGCAAACGGAACAGAAAGGGAACCATAATATATTTTCTGTAATACAGTGCCTTCCTTATGAACATCGCTTCTGGGATGAGGACAGGTGACCGGAAAGAGTAGCATGACTCTCGCGACTTTTTCCGCTCGGTGCACTCGACGCAAGACTTTGTCAGGAGCACACGAAGGAAGGAAGGAAGGAAGGAAGATGATTGAAACCCAGAGGAAATCTGACAGGAAAAGAAGCGCACAAAAAAAAAAAAAAAAAGAGCGAGGGGAAGGCAAAGGATGATCACGACCGAAGGCGGTATTATATGACCATGATCATCATCTTCTCCTTCTTCCTCAGTGGGGTGAATGACCCGAGAGGCAACTGCGCGCGAACCCCCACCTCAGAGAGATGAAACAAGAAAAAATAAATAGTAGAGGTAAACTCGGTCGGCCAAGATATAAACGCTCCAGCTCTCGGGTCTCCGCCATCAGGCTCCGTTAGGTCGGAACTGATGATCTCAAGAGTTTTTCGTTTCCGGTGTGGGAGTCAGGAGTTTAAAATTTCAAACACCAAGTTCAAGCCCAGCAAAACTTGTTCCACCATTATAAAATGAAGAAATTAAAATTTTGAAAGCCAAGAAGAGGGCACGTAGCAAAAGGAGGTTCTCAAATTCGATCAAAATTCCCAAATTAAACATTATAATTTTTTGTTTATCGGAAAATGTTGTTTCAGCGAAGCAACCATCATGAAGTTGTTTCCTTGACATTTTATTTGTGATTTGGAAGATACTTATAATTTTCTAACATAATTTTTCTAATACTGTAGCTTGAAAAAGATTCAATGAAAGGACAATTATGAATTGTCTGCTGATTTTTTATTCTCAAAAAATAAATTTTTTTTCATCAACTTTCATGATACAGTGGTGCCCCCCCCCCCCCCCCCCC